ACAAATACCGCCTAATCATTTTGAAAAGAATGTTCATTCGTCTGGCTTGTTCCTTGGCCCAGGAATTAAAAATTGACGCTATTGCGACTGGTGATTCATTGTCCCAAGTAGCCTCGCAGACCTTAGAAAGTCTGGCGGTCATCCACCAAGTTAGTTCGTTAATTGTCCTTTGCCCTTTAATTAGTTGGGACAAAAAAGAAATAATTGCTGCTGCCGAAAGTATTGAGACTTATGGTCTTTCTTTGCAGAAATACGAAGATTGCTGCTCCTTATTTGAGCCTAAAAATCCGATAACCAAACCAAAAAAAGAGGTGGCAGAAAAGTTGGAAAAAGAGATTTTTTGGTCTGAAATTTTGGAAAATATTGGGAGAAAAAGGGCATAAAATTGGGGTATGCTTATTTTATAAAAACAATTTTGAGCAGAGATTTAATCGATTAGTAAAATTGATTTATAAAGGTAATGATATGAGCGAGGAACTACTACAAAGGAATTTGAGGGAAAAAATAGGAACTTGGGATTTCTATAATATCGGCTCAACAACAATTAATCAATTAAAAAAATGGGGTATTATAAGAAGTGTTGATTATGAGGATATTGAGAGAAAAAAAGTTGATGCTATTATAATGGAAAACAAAAAGGTCATTGCGATTATTGAATACAAGTCCCCCAGAAACTTTAACACTCAAAACAAGAAAAATCAGGCTATTCAGCAGGAATTTGAAGTCGCTAAAAAATTGGGAACAAAATTAATCATAGCAACTGATAAACAGGAAACTTTATGAATTAATGTTGAAACTGGAAATAGCGTAAAGTATGGAAATGGTGAAGAACTAAAACGACCTTTTGACGAAAAAGACCCCAATTTACAGAAATTTATAAATGAGATTTTGGCATCTATCAACAAAAAAAATGATAGAATTCTACCTAAAAAAATAATAGACCCAACTGGTTTAGCCAAGCAGGTGTGGCAGGACATTTGAATTGCGAGCGGCAAAAGCCCGGAAATTTGTTTGTATACCTTTGTCGAATTATTTATATTTAAGTATCTTAGCGATTTAGAAATTTTAACAGGAGATTATAGTTTTGAGACATTGCTTAACAAGGATAAAGATAATGATAAGGATTACATATTGACCCACTACGCAAAAATTATAAGACCAGAAATTAAAGAATTATTTCCCGAAGGTCCAGATGGAACAACTATCATAAATGGAACAATTTTTGTTAATAAAAAACAGAAAGCGGTAGTCGGTTATGGCTCTGTATTTAAAAAAGTTTTAGAAAGATTCGAGAATTATGGAAGGTTAGAAAACATTGACTACGATTTTAAGAGTAAATTATTTGAAAGTTTTTTGAAGGAGAGTATAAGTAGAAAAAGATGAGGGCAATATTTTACCCCACTAAAAGTTGTAAGAGCTGTAAATAAAATGGCTGGTGAACCAAAAGAAGGAATGAAAATTTGCGACCCGGCTTGCGGAGTAGGAAAATTTCCTCTGGAATTTATAAAAGACAAACTTGAAGAGTTATTTGAAATCAAGAATGATAAGATAATACAAAAAATAGAGATAGTTGGTTTTGATAAAGGATTTGACGAGGAGGAACAAAAAACTATAATTTTAGCCAAGGCTAATATGCTTATCTACTTTTGTGAATTAATCAAAAACCACGCCAAATTAACCAAAGAGTTTGCTGAACTTTTCAACAACAGTTTTACTTTGAAAATTAATTCAATACTTGGCACCTTGTCTGACCTTAAACAAGATGAATACGATTTAATCCTTACCAATCCCCCTTATGTAATGAGCGGAAGCAGCAACTTAAAAAAGGAGATAGCCGAAAATCCCAAATTGAAAAATTATTACAAAACCAATGCCATGGGCCTTGAAGGCTTATTTATGGAATGGATTATCAAGGCTCTAAAACCTGGCACCGGAAAAGCATTTATAGTTGTTCCGGATGGAATTTTTAATCGCCAAAATGATAAAAAATTAAGACAATTTATTTTGGATAATTGTTATATTGATGCCATAATTTCACTTCCGATAAATACATTTTTTCGAAACTCCAAAAAAACTTACATTCTAGCCATAACTAAAAAGAAAAAAAAAAAAGATGATATTTTGGAAGCACAAACTGACCCAGTATTTACTTATTTAGTTAGTGAAATTGGAGAAAACAGGGATATTAATAGATTTAGTATTCCTCAGGACGATTTAAGCGAAGCGGTAGAATTATTTAATTTTTTTAAAGGAAATAAGAAAAATTTTCACAAATTTCAAGAAACGAAGCCTGATAAAAGATGTAAATTGTG